GGGGTCAAGGCCTTTGGGGAAGCAGGGTCTCACGGGGTGTGGAATCTGTTGAATCATGGGGTCCAAATGCATGGCTCCTGGGACAAGAGGGCAGTTATAATGCAGCAACAGCGCCCGTGGGACTGATCCAGCGTCTTCTCCTCTGCGGGCTGGCCCAGCTGCGGTGGGGAGCCCTCTGCCCAGTGCAAATTCAGGAGGCTTCCCAGCTGCCTGACTCAGAGCAAGAGATAAGCTAACGGGCCACAGCAGGGCCGTGAGGTTTCCAGCTGCCACCGGGGGAGGGGCTGGGGGGCCAAGGGCAGCCCAGAGAGAGCGCACAGGAAGGGGCCTCAAACAACCGACAGCTTGGGCCTAGGTTCGGGGGGCTAGCCTCTCCGTCTGGAGACAGGTGAAGGCCTGGGCAGAGGTGCTGCGGGGGGCCTCCGACCTGGGTGATGGGCCTCGGTGCCCCACCTCCCCTCATTATGTTACAACAAACTCTGAAAGGTGGGTACTGACCCGTACTGGGCACCTGACGCTGGGGTTCAGGGGTTAGTCTAACAGGCCTCTATGGTCTGAGATGGTGTTTCTCAAACTCTAAGGAGCCCACAGTCACCTGCCATTCCTGATAAAATGCAATTCTGAGTCTGGGGTGGGCCTGAGTGTCCCCATGTCTGAGAAGCTCCCAGGTGATTCGAAGGCCACCACAACCTGCCTTTTGAGTAGCAAGGGTCTAAGAGGTCATGGACAGGAGGAATACAGATGTGACCCCACCACCCACACTAGTGTGACGGGCAGGAGGGACAGACGCAGGAGAGAGGAGTCTCTCTTGCAGAGGAGGGAGAGGTGGCACTAGGCAGGGAACTTGCCTGAGGCCACAGGACAGGTGGGGTTGGAGCTGCGCTGGGAACTTGGACCTTCCTGAGCCCAGTGCCTGTGTTCTTTTGCTCTGCCTAAAAAGGGTGTGTGGGAAGAAGGGGTTTTAAGGCCCAAAGAGCAACAGGTAAGGCTTTTGGGGCTGGGAAATGGGCTGGTGTGGCTGCAGTGGAGGCAGCAGAAGGCAAGAAATGAGGTGCGGAGGTGGCCTAAGGCAGAATGGGGTCCCTGAAGTCAGTGTGAAGAGGAGGGACACCCCCAAGAACTGCCAGGCTGGAGCCATGGCCCAGCACCCAGCGCGGAGCACTGGCCCAGGCTCTGCTGTTCCGGCCCTCCCCTTGGGCGGGGGAAGCTCCTGGTGCTAGGTCAGGGCGGGCTCATGCGTGCTCCCGCCCTCTAAAGCGTGCGGGAAGGGCACAGGCTCTCAGGCTACGCTCCCGCGTCTGCACTAGCACCTGCTGCCAGCAGGCGGGAAGGGCAACAGTGCCCTCTGCTCAGAGCTGTCGTGAGAAGTCCAGGGGCCAACCCGGTGCGAAGTTCTGTGAGCTGACACTGGAAAGCGCTGAGAGCAGTGCCCAGTCTTAATGAGAGCTCAACATATTAGTCACTGTTATTATTGGGAATACGCCAGGGATGGCTTTCTGGGTTTCTTCTAGAACTTGTTTCTGCATTTGGCCACACCAGCCTGGGTTATAAGGAACAAAGCTTCCTGAACATTTCATTTTTGCCACGTGTTTGGAGCTGGGTCACACTCACCTTGGACCAGAGAGCCCTGCAGGGCACACTGACACCAGCAATTTGGTCTCACTAGGGATGGGCACGTGGCCGGAAGGCAAGGACAGGGAAGACTGGGTCTTAAGGGCGAGTATCAGTCCTGGGGTGACCCTTGGCCAGCCTGCCACACCGACTGCTGGTGGCCAAGGCTGTGCCACTCCTGCAGGGGGGACGCCCCACCGTCTCCAGCCAGGGACTGACCCCGAGGGCCTCCTGCTTCTGCTGAGCTTTCTGCTCGGGCTCAGGTCCTTCAGGTCAGTTTAAGGGGGCTCATCAGCCCCTCCCCAGAGCATTGCGGGGCCTTGGCTGATGTCTGCCCGAGTGCAGACAGGCAGAGAAAGTATGAAGGTCGCCAAGTCACAGGAGACCCAAGTGGTTATTTTCATTTCCTTCTGCCAAATCACCATCTAGGGAGACAGGGAAACATGGTATCCTTCCACCGGCCTCCCTGAGGGCTGCCCACCCAGGCAGCTCCCTTCCTGACTGCCCCAAAGGTGGCCTTCCTCCCAGCCTGCAGCTCTGGGAGGGTCAGGAGCGAAGTGAGGTGGGCGGAGAGGCACAACCATTCCCTCTGCCCCCATGGCTGTGCGCTGGAGGGAGAGACGTGTGTGGCAGGCCAGGCGAGAGGAAGATACTGTGTGGGCAGGTGTGCCCTGCGGGCCCTGGGGACCACTGCCGGGGGGCACGTTGGCCGCACAGCAGCTCCCCGGGCAGGCGACAGGCCTTGCCTCCTCACGCTGCATTCAGTCTGCACCACTTGACTTCACAGACCCACTGCATAGGCTGGGCCACTTAGTTCCCCACAAACGCCACTGGTTTCATCGTTACTAGGTTCCCTGCCTCCTTGGCCTTCCAGAAAATCCCTTTAGCGGGGAGGGGGACTGGGTGGTAGGTGGGGTGGTCTACCCTAAAAGGACACAGCACTGCAGTCTGTTAGTTCTCAGAGCTGTGCCCTGCACAGCCAGAGGGAAGCAGAAGCCAAGCAGGAAGAGGGCCTGGCCTTGCAGCCTCTGGCCACGTGCATGGCCAGATGGAAACGGAACGACTCTCTCGCATGCTTGAGGAGTGATGGGAGAAAGAGCAGCCCACAGAGGGATGAGTGTGCACTTCCTGCATGCTTTCTGACCTACACAGCCCCCCCACCCACAGCCATCCTTGGTGCTTGGCCTGAGGCAGCTGAGAGGTGGGAGAGGGCCCAGGGCCCAGCTCTGGCTTCCTGTGCTTTTCTATTACTGGTTTGAGCTTGACCTTGACCTTGAACTTTCAAAATCATGGAGTCATTTCAAAAATCTAGTGCCAGCTGTGGACATGCCCACATGTGGTTCCCATACTCCTTGCAGGCTAAGTGCCTGGTGGCCCACGGTGCTGTGTATCCTAAGGCAAGAAGTGTTACTGGCTGCAGGCACTTCCTTGGTGTTCTTTCCAGGATGGAATTTCTTCCCATCTGGCATATTTGGTTGTTTTTCTGTGAATTCAGGGTGAGTCCCTGGCTGACGAGCAGCAGTCTGACAGCTTTGCTGAGCTGGGACAAGTCTCACCACCTTAGTCTCATTAGCAGTCCATTCATCTTGGTGGGGCTAGGAGCTGGGGTTCACAGCCCTTGCCCCCCAAGTCCCCAACAACCCTTGCCCCAAGCTGAAAGGGCCTGCTGCCTGGGGTACCTCCTGGAGCTCCCTGGGCCAGGCCTCAGGGCCCCCCCCAACCCCAGGAGACCTGGGCTGCCCACAGCCATTTTCTGGCCCATCTCTTCACTTGTGAGTAAGCATTTCACAGCCACAAACCTCTCTGTGTCTGGGAGGAAGAGAAAAGACACCTTACAGACGGAGACAGGTCTCCAGGTCCTGGAGTCAAGGTGTCCTTCCCCTGCCAGGTTGCGCCGCCTCAGCTTTCTGCCTCTGCCCCTCGGACGGGAGAGGAGGTGCTTGGCGGCTGCTTCCTGGGGAGAGGCCTGCAGGCTGGGGCCTTGTCCTGGCTGCTGCCCCTCCTCCAGTCGGCTCGCACTGCCCCGCTCCAGGTCCCCCATCCCCATACTGGGGCCTGCCCCACACCCAACCTTCATTCCTGTCACCTGTCCTGGGGACTTCAGGTTGACTCTGACTGCCACTTGGGGACACAGGATGGAGAGTGGATTCCTGTGGGCAGAGGTGGGGGGAGCCCCAGCAGGGGTCTTGGGGTCAGGATGTGGGAGCCTCTGGACCACAGCCTCTGACTACCCAGAGGAAACTGGGCCCAGGGACAGGAAAGCCCTGCATCCTGGGGAAGCAGGACAAGGAAGCTGGGCCGCTGCTGGTGCCTCTCGCTCCTTCCTTGCTTCAGTCCGAAGCTTGGGAGCAGCTGCAGGGAGAGCACGTACAGTGGCGGTGGCCTGAAGCCTGGGGTCCTTCATGACACCCTGCTGCAGGGGCGGGGGAGCCCGAGACGTCAAGTATCACTGGGGAGACGCCTTCGTGGCATGGGCCCTCTGCGCCCTGACGTGGCAGCGCGGGGTGCTGTCAGGCCTGCAGGGCTCCCACGGCCTTTCCCAACGGGTGTTCTTGGGGCTGGTACCAGAATGCCTCCCAGGCCCTGCCCAGTAGGGCTGCAAGAGGGAAGCTGCTGCTGGAAGGTCCCCTATTTATTTGATGCTTGACTTCTGCACCAAGGAGGAAGGAACTGTCTAGGACCTTGAATCTGGATGTCAAGAGCCACTCAAGGAATAGACATCCCAGGCAAACACCCAAGATTTGCTGCGTACTTTCCTACCAACCTGTATCCCTGGGCATGTCCAGGACCTCGTCACTGGGGAGCTCTTGTGTCTGCTGGGGAGGGAGGCACTGGCCTGGGAAGAAAAGCCGCCTGCTGCCTGAAGAACCCTGAAGGGTGAGGACCAGGAAGGCCACACAGCTACTTTCACAGCCGAGGGCTGCCTGGAAACACCCTGTTTGAATTATCCCCTCTCCTGCCTGGGCTGCCTGCTACGCTGCTTGCTAGTTTTAGCTTCCTGATGAGGAAGGGAATGGCTGCCGAGCTGCCCACCGGTGAGACCTAAGATCCGGAGCGCCCTGATTCCTGAGTGGGGAGATGCTGCTGCAGGGAGAGAGACCGCCAGCTGACTCGCAGGGCTAATAGTGAGCCCGTGGCTCAGAGCCTGAGAAGTGCAGGAAGATGGGGAAGAGGTACAGGAGCATCTCTCATGGGGGGTGGGAGGCTCCTGGAGGCAGGTCTTCCTGCCTCCCGGAGAGTGACAGGTCACTAGGAGGAAACTTACTGACCCCTCACACCCAGCAGAGATCCAGGGCTCAAGAGCGACAGCCCAAAGGGCCCCTAGCCCAGTATCAGACCTGGCACATTCCCAGGGTCCCCGAGGCTGCAACCGAAAGGGGACTACTCACCAGGGGCACTCAGCAGGCCAGCTCTGCCAGGCGTGGGCAGCTGGAGCTCTGAGTGGCTGACCCGGAGATCAGGGCCATCAAGAGGGCCTGCGTCATCCGCCTGGCCTGCGGGAGAGGAGGCAATTTCTGCCAATACCTCCAGATCCTTCAGGACAACCTGGGGGAGAAAAGCAGATGAGGGTCAAGGAGCTCCTGGGAGAGCTGTGGCCAGATAGCGCCTCCAGGGGGTGGGAGGCGGCTGCAGAGGATGACGGGCTGGTGAGAGCCGCCAGACTGTGGCTGTAACAGGGCTTAGAATGTTCCATAAAGGACACGCACTACCGAGAACACAGGCGGTGGATGGGGGCCAGGGGGCCAGGGGCACACATCCTTGAGGCAGCAAATCCTGGCAGTCAAACAGAGCAAGTGAGAAAAGCACAAGGCTGCTGGGGTCATGTCAGCACTTGGCTGGATCCTGGCCCCAGGAGGGCCACAAAACCCACACCAGGCTTCCGGGGGGTGCCTATTTCCCTGCCAGAATTAATGCTGTCACTTGTTCTGTCACCTTACACAGTCACAGGCGCAAGCTAAGAGAGTCCACTTTGAACAGGGCTCTGGTCCCAAGGCTGGAGTCCCCTGGTAAGCTATGCGGGGCTCTGTGGTCAGACAGTCCTGACTTGTCACCTTGATCCTGCCATTTAGTTGGCTGACCCTGGACCAGTTACCTTGGCCTGTACAAACCCCTCCCCCAGCACGTACTGAGAACCCAGAATGGGCCATGTATAGCCTGTGTTGGTTGGAGAAGACACAAGGTTGGACAGGCCAGGCTCTGCCTCCCACGAGAGTGACCTCAGGAGAGACAGGTGGTAGTGACAGTGACACTGATAATGAAGCGCATGTGCAATGGGGGACCAGCAACTTGGCCGGACAGGAGGTCCAGAAGTGTACCTGAGCATGTTTGCCAGGGAACCAGTAGGTAGAGGAAGGCATGCAAAGCATTCTATTAACTAGTATGAGCCTTTCATGGACACAGAACCAGAACCATGTGGCACATTCCAGGAAACGAGGCTTTGGTCTAGAGTGGAGTGGGGTGTGGGTCTGCTGTGGGTATTAAGAAGGAGAGTGGGCCCAAAATGCAATTGCTTGTGCTAAACCCCATACCAGCACACCAAGATTTAATACCCAACCCAAGTGCAGTTTCAGCTCCAGGAATGTAACCTTAACTAGTCAACATGGAACTTACCCGGTCAGCAACAGTGAGATAACCTGCCCCAAAGACTCCTTCCACTACCTTAGGAAGGGCACCTTGCCTGAAACAATGCATTCTTTGCTAATAATTTCCTTTTTCTGCCCCCACTTCCCCTTTAAAAACCTTCCCTTTTCTACAGTTTGGGGGAGCTTCTATTTCCAGGTGGATGCTGGCTGTTTCATCAACTGGTGAATAGAGCCAATATGATCCTTGAATTTGTTTAAGTGAATTTTTGTTATTTTACAGGGGGCAGGACAGAAACCAGGTAGAAGCTGTTAAATTGGGGAAGCTCCTCAACAGCTATGAGCCAAAGAAGTCTGAAGGTGGTTTTGCAGGTGATGGGGAGCCTCGGTTTCCTTGCATGGGCCAATGCAATGGAGATTCACCTGTGCAAGGTTGTCATAAGATTACAGGAGATACTCTATGTACCACTTCTGTTAGGTTTTGGTACCACATCTGAGCTTGGTCAGTGGCCCTGGTTTAGGGATTGGGCAGGGATGGCAGTGGGCACACAGAGGGCTTCAGAGTTCATTCTCCACCAGAGAATCTGCACTGCCTCTCTCTGTACCATCTCTTCCTGTCTCACTGGAGCACCAGTCCGCAGAGTGCATACTGTACATTTCAAATGCTCTTATTTTAGAAAGTTTAACACCAAATGGCAAATGAATGCAAATTACACTTCCACTGCACAATTAAAGCCGGAAATGTGTACAGGTTCCTTCAATAATCCCAACCACTCCTCTTACGCTGACATATCAAAAAATTTGTCTCTGGTCTCCAGGGACTGGCAAAAGTGACAGACACCACTGCTTGGGGCAGGACCGCGTGCACCCGCACACACGTACACACCTACAGCACTGTTTCAGTCCCTTAAAGTGGGAGTCAGGGAACAGCGTGACTGTCTCTGCCAGCCTCCCAGAGGCAAGTAGGGGAAGGGGCTGCCAAAATGAAGGCAAGGAATGGCTGCAGAGGGGAATACTGAGTGTGTGGGGAGCCACTCCGGGGCTCTGAGGCTCTGTGCCCATCCAGCCCAGGTGCTAGCTCCCCCAGCTGACCAGCAAACCCACTCAGCCCAGGGGCTGGACATGGGGTTATGGAGCAATAATCCTGACACAGGCCGAGGCAAGGCCTCTGCCTCCACCCAGGGAGTGAGGGAGGCTTGGGAGGCAATGTCAATAGTAGGCCTGGGCCAGAGCAACAGAGGCCACGGGCTGGACTTGGCTCTGCGTCTCTGTATCAGGCCAGGGTTCTGGTGCTCTACCCCACCGGAGACCCTACAGCCTGTGGGCAGGAGCCTCTGGGACAAGGACACTGTGATCTTAGCTGCCTTGCTCACAGGCCACCCACTCAAGGCCTGGACGAAAGGGCCCAAGCTACAGATGTGCTGCTGGGCTTCTAGTCGCCCTTCCAGCGAGCATGGGCTCTGAGAACGGGGAGAGGCTCAAAGAAAGCAGAGGAAGCCACACCAATTAGTATGCACAACGTAGCTTTTTGCAAAATGAATATAAAACACTTGTGCTTTCTTTTTATGTGAGAAAAAGAGGGGGGAAAGAGGGAGGGAGGAAGGTTACAAGAAAGCAATATTCTGCAGAAGCAGGAGTGCCTGCCGTTACTAGGGCAACAGGCTGGGGGTGGGGAAGGCACATCGGCTGGTCCCTGGTCCTGGAGTGAGCTGGCCAGGGGTGGAGTGAAAAGGTCACGACAGCTGGGTGTGGAAAACATCTGACAAACCAAGTCTGAGGGAAAGGCCACAGGGGTGGGGGGGTCCACACCCTCCCAGGCTGGGGGAGCAAAGTGGAGGAAGCCAGATGATTCCTGAAAAAGCCCCTCCTTTTGGGAGCAAAGGGCAGATTTCAGGGTGGGAAAGGAATCATCATCCGGGGGAGCTGCTGCAGGCTGTCACCCACTGCATTCCAGCAGGCCACAGACTGTCTCTGGGATGGTGGATGTTCCCTCCCTTCTTCTGTCTGTGCATCCAGACGCTCTCTGTCCCAGCACCTTGTCTGCAGACCAGCCCTGGACAACCCCTCGCAGTGGGAGGCTTCCTTCTTTCACTGTCTCTAAGGTGTTTGGTAACTGCTCCTTTACCACCCTGGGAACAGCTGGGGCCCCAGAGCTTCTCAAGGCCAACTCCCTAGGCTGGGGGCCTGGCCTGTCCTTGCCTCCTACCAAGACTTCTGAATATGAAGTCCCAGGGTGGGGCACTAGGCAGATAGTGAATAAATACTTGCTGACCTACAGCACCAGGCAGGAAATGGAAGATGGATGGTTCTGAATAACTTCTGCCAGGGGGATGGATGGGGAGGCCTCCCACTCTACCCACTTATCTCTAAGAAATTTTCGTCAAAAGTTTGGCTAGGCTGCTGGTCAGCTGATTGGGCCCCAGATGTCAACTGGTTCAGCCTTCCAGGCCTCCAAGGAGGGAAGGAAATCCCCAAGCTGGGTCCTCTCCAGTCCCGGCCAGCAAAAAGCCACAAGAATGTTTCCAAGGGACACATGAGGTGCTGGCAGGGGAGGTGAATTCGGGCTAAAGGCCCTTGAGGCTGAGGTCTGGCTCATGAGGGCTGCTGCCAAGGCTACCTGATGCCTCTGCCCAGAGCAGTGGGGCCCGCGGTCGTGCCTGAGATCTGAGTCAGGTCATGCTGCTCCTTACTTTTGGGAAGTAGAGCTAAGAGTAAGCAGCACAGAGGCACCGAGGGCAGGCGTCCAACAGGGAGCCGTGGGGCCTTCTGCTGCCTTCCACCAGAAGCCTGTCCCCTTCCCTTGCAATGGGTGCAGCCCAGCGGGTCAGGCCTCTTGAGTCCCTCAGCACATAACTGAATGGCTCTTGTGGCCTATGGACTTGGCCAGAGAGTTGACCCTAGGAAGCCTGGCTGCCATTCCCAGGAAGCGTCCCCTGGGGGAGCTGGAGGAGGGCCACAGAACTGCCACAGGCCCCCAAGCAGTCACCTTAGGGCGCTTTGGAAGAAGGCACCCAGCACCAGCCAGCACCCGGGCCAGAGGCCCCCACTCTGGCAAGAGTAAATCTGATTGGCACCAGGCAGCAATCATGCCCCAGCCCAACCCGGGAAAGGAGTGCTTACTTTCCTAGGAAAGCTTTGGGCTACAATGGGGAAGGGACGGGTCCCACAGCCCTGCCTTCCGCGGCAGGCAAAGCACTGGCCACAGAGAAGAACCTTAGATGGGGGCAGGAGAGGAGGGTTTTTTAGGCTGTGATCTATTTTATTTCCCATTGAGAAAACCACCCTGCTTAAATTAAAATCCTTTTAGGTCTTAATAAAGCAAAATCAAGTTAAAAAAAAATTTCATCTCCATTTGCTGTCCGACCTTGAAAGCATGCCTGAGGGATCAGGATTGCTTTCTTCTTTTCTCACTTTTAATAAACTTTGAAATCCTTCCCTAAGTGGTAGTTCTCTCATATGCAAAGGGCCAGCACCTACTGCTGTCCTAAGTTCCACTAACAGCCACAGCGCAGTGCAGGGGCCGGCAGCTTAAACCATTCCACCAGTCATCCCTCTTGAGGGTACAGAAAGGCCAGCCTGAGGTAAGACAGCTTCTGGTGCCTCTCGCTCCTTCCTTGCTTCAGTCCGAAGCTTGGGAGCAGCTGCAGGGAGAGCACGTACAGTGGCGGTGGCCTGAAGCCTGGGGTCCTTCATGACACCCTGCTGCAGGGGCGGGGGAGCCCGAGACGTCAAGTATCACTGGGGAGACGCCTTCGTGGCATGGGCCCTCTGCGCCCTGACGTGGCAGCGCGGGGTGCTGTCAGGCCTGCAGGGCTCCCACGGCCTTTCCCAACGGGTGTTCTTGGGGCTGGTACCAGAATGCCTCCCAGGCCCTGCCCAGTAGGGCTGCAAGAGGGAAGCTGCTGCTGGAAGGTCCCCTATTTATTTGATGCTTGACTTCTGCACCAAGGAGGAAGGAACTGTCTA